AAGTAATCATTCTTTTCTTTGGAAAAGCAGACGCGTTCTTAGTAATTCCACAAATAAAAAAGTACAGACCAACTAAGTTTGACAACTACTCCACTCAACACTACAGCAGCTAGTACCAACATATGCTGTAGTCTCTGTTTAAACCAAAGCTGGAGTCATTTCCTGCAGCAGACCACAGCTGTTTGTGAGCACTGATGTCAAATGGTTTTTCTGCTTGTTTGCCTTAAAAGGTCAGACACTGAATTGTTCTGCGGTGAAACCTAAAAAGTAAATATTGAAAATATTGGAATAAAGTAAATTATTTTTCATGATGATTTTTGTGACAAAGACCAAAACACACAACATTCAGTCTCTGTTACTGTTAATCATAAGGACAAACTATAAACTATGCACTGCACCCCAGACCAATAAAAACTGTCATTGACATCAGGATCTCAACCAAGTTGCCTACCTTTTCTTGTATTTGAGGGCTTGTGACTTCCAGTAATCAACTTCCTCATCCTTTGTTGAAAATTTGGGAATCATCTCTGTGTCCATGTCAGGGCACCCTGAGGATTAAAGTCAAACGTTAATTTGTAAAACAATGATTTGCAATTTAAAACAGCAAAATAAAAAGTGTGACCTTCCTTATTAAAAGGTTGAAGAGTTCCATTAGACCATAACCTGGATGGCTGGATGAAAATCCTCATCGATATCCTTCTACGTTAAGCTAGTATATTCATGTGGTCTTGAATTACCTACTCAGCATAAAAGCACTCAAAATATGTTTCCACCTATATGAACTTCTTTCTGCCTAAAAGGCTTGTAGTAAGAAATTTTTATTTTTTCTTAAGTATTTTAAAGGCATATAATAACCAAAAAGGATGAACAAGCAGGTCATTTAAACATGGCACAACATTTGCATGTAGAGTCAGGTATAAAGCATTCCCTTCTTATCACAAGGAAAAGGAAACAAAACAACGCGAGATAACAAATTTGCCTTTCTCAAAAATGACCTGAACTCTAACAGAAGAGAAACAAGAACAGAGTGGCTATTTCAATTTTGTTAGAGAAAAGGTATTTCTAATAGTCACAATACATGTAATAAATAATGATGAATGTTTTAATTCTCCCTAATCTTTTAAAGATCCTACAACCTGGTGAGTTTGGTGAGATTTGCACCCGTTTTAATCTCCATAAATGTATGTGACGTAATATTAGACTATTTACAAAACATCCCTGAAAAGAGCATGCGAGTGTGTTCTATTTCTACAGGAAGGCCAGCGCTTAACTTCCAAGAATCTTTACAATACAACCTGAGCCCATGGGACTTTCCTGCAGACAGGTTATTTATAAAGTTTGGGAAAACTGCTTTGATTTTTGTTACAACTATTTTGGCTGCCAAATCATCTTTATATAAAAAAAAAGCCTGGTAACAAGTTTTATATTTAGAGAACAACATTATTATACTTGTCATGGCTAAAAGAAGAGGGTCCAGCTCCGAAGGGATAAAGACTCAGAGGCAGATCTGCAGTTTCCGTTAAAACATTCCTTTGAGATGGCATCACTCACAACACGCTGGAAGCAGACAACTCACGTGTAACTACAGAACACTATGCTGGAGATCTTGAAGGAAACTCAAAACCAAAATACCACAAGGGAGGAGATGATGAATATTTCTGCAGTTGACGTAACATGATACTTGTATGATATACTAAAGTGAAGTAACAAGAACTACTTACAATTATAGGGGTGGGATTACAAAATGTTTCCTAAACATCATTGTGACTCTACAGCGATGACTCTGAGTACCAGGAAACAGTCCTCATGGTGATTCAGATCTAAGGCTTACAGAATCCAATTCCAGAGGGCTGACAAATTACTATAGTATAACTCTTAAATATGTCAGACACACAAGCACACACAGGTACCATACATGGAACTTATTATGTCATTTTATGAGATGAAAGGTATAAGCTTGTTATGATATCTTACAGTAACAGGTTGAGTGCAGAGACTCATCATATCTCAATTTACCCTATGTTTTAGGGCAGTTAGCATGGTTTTCTCGATGGATGATGAGAGGATATTACAGACAGGGGAAGGTTGACAAGAAAGGACAATGTCCTTTCCCCACATTCTTGTCCCTGCGTCATCTTTCTTTGGCTAGATAGTAAGTAGATGTTCAGTGTTGGCACCAGTCCATGCCCGCAGAAATGTGAATACATGTGAAACTGACTATCATAATCTGTTAAATTGATTACAAAAATAGTTTCAATTGAGCCACCATTTATAGTCTTGAAAAAATAGTCTTAAAAATCTGTCAATTGGGACATGTTCAATACTGATAATAAATATGAAATGCAGTTTAGAAGGTGTTGTATCAATATTTTTGTCCACCAGACAATATGCATTTATGGTAAAAAAATTAAAAAATGTCACACAAATGACTTACAATGACCACAAGGCTTAAAGAACAAAAAAAAAAAAGAAAAAAAAGAAAAAACAAAACACAAAAGGTTAACGGTTAATACCAGTACGTTTAAAAGCTGAATTTGCATTTACGCATTTAGCAGACTCTTTTGTCCAAAGCGACTAACAAGAGGATATTTTTTTTTTACATTGTAGAAATCTCAAAATATATACACTTCAGATGAAAAATGTATTGAAAACAATTCAGAAATTTCGGGATCTTTGGAGGAAGATGACAAAATATTTCAAAAAAGTATGTAAGCAAAATGTCCTTCATGGTTTTAAGCATGATCCGTACCGTTAAAAACCGAACAACGTCTATGAGTAAGATATTCATTTCGATCAAATTTCACAGGCTAAGAATAAAACACTATAATAAAGCAGGCTTCTCCAAATTATTTTTTTACATCTATAATTCAACAACATTTACGTCCGAATTTAGCTAAAACAAGGGCAGGGACCGGCTGTGTTTCAGGCTATCTCAGGAGCTGCTGTTACAGTCTACGTCGCATTCAATATCGTTCAGTGTTGGCAGGTAGTATATAGACAAATACCAAAAGTCTGACTTTCGTCATATCGACTAAAACAAACGAAACGTCAAAATACGACGAAATAAATCAAAGCTTAAACTGAGAATCGCCACACACAGAGAAGCCGCTGCCATAGAGAAACGACATCAGATCGACACGATGAAACCCAAAGACGACCAGATTAAATTAAACCTAAACAATCAATAATTACTCACCTTCTCATGTCAAATTGTGTCAAACTATCTTCCGCGTCAGTAGGTTGTACTCTCGCCGATAAAATACATCCAAACCTAACGTTCCCAAACAGTCCTTCACCGGCCTTAGCTGATATTTGCAGTGACTGAGCTGTGTTTCGGAAACTGCCAACGCGTCTCCCGGAACCGACGTTATTCAGCGCATGCGTGCGCGATGACGTTATTTGCGCTTACGTCAGAAATGGGTATGGCAGCTTCAGATGCATATTTTCTAGACAAAAAGGACGATCTATCGATTGATCGATCGATAGATCGATAGACAGATAGACAGACAGACAGATAGACAGACAGATAGATAGATAATTCAATTTTAATATGTAATACTGGTTAACTATTATTTTCCGTCTCAATTGATTAAGATTTCACTGTTTTTGTCTTACCCATTATAAATCATATTCCTGTTTCTCTTTTTTTCTGATCTTTTTTCAAATACTACCAAACGTGTATAAACGTTATTAACAAAAGACCACTCACTATTGTTTTGCCTCTGCAAGCAGCTGGGCTACTTATCTTTCATTGCATTGTCACACAATAGACACTAGATGGCAATATTATTGAGGACTGACTATATTAAACACTATCTTCACTTCAGCACGTGATTATACTCTTGTTTTATTACAAGAATTTATTTAGCCTGCGTTAAGAGTGGGGAGAAGAAGTTAATTTGAAAAACATTCACGTCTGTATTATATTTCCTTTGAAGAGAATTATTTGTCTTGACTTTCCTAATTAGAGCAAACAGAATTTCCAACAACATTTCCTAGGATAAACAGTCTTGAAGACAACTTTACATTTTTGGTGAATCGTGAAAACACCTACATGCATACACCTTAAAGAAGTAGAGGCATTTCAATATTACTAGGAAAAATAAGTTAAAAGATTATTATCAAAGAAAATTCCAGAAGCCCAATGCCTGAAAGAGTATTGCTGAATGACAATGGAAATATGTTGTCTAATACGTTTATATTTAGTCTATTATATTACTTAGGAAAATTAGAATATAATAATTTAAATAATAATACTAATTTAATTGTAATCATATATATATATAATTACAATTAT